CAGGCTTCTCAGATATCTACAAATTTGCTGATTCTTGCTGGCTGACCCTAAACCCTAAATCCATATACCCCAAACCCCTAAACCCTAAACCCCTAAACCCCTAAACCCTAAACCCCAAACCCCTTAAAGCATATCGAGCCTAGACTTCGAAGCTGCTGCAAGCCCAGAAGCAACCTTGCAAGAGCCCTGCGCAGTGCCCACAAGGTCCCGTAAGACCCCTAGAGCCTAGACCCTAGTATGTAGTGAGCGTAGATTGTTGGGGTCCTGATGGCACCCCCTACTGTAGCCCCCTAAAGCCCTAAACCTTTAACCCTATAAGCCTCAAGCCCTAAACCCTATAGACCCTAAACCCCAAACCCTATAAACCTTAAACCCTATAAACCTATAAACCCTAAACCCTACCCTAATAAAACACAAACCCCCAACCCCGGCCCCTAAATCTCCAAACTTGGAAGCCCTAGACTGCCACATCCCTTTAACCCTCAGCCTCATCCCTAAAACCAAACAGTGCATCCCAGAAAGTTGGAACATGGGTTTCAGAGGATTAGTGCTAGGATCCCTTATATATACTTTTCCTTAAGGGCATGAGGATAATCATGTTCCAACTTTCTGGCTTTTACTATAAACCCTGCCTAAATGCGTACACCCCTAATCCCTCATACACAAAAGAGGCCTATAACCCCGAATCCCTAAATCCCCAGCCTCAGCTCCAAACCCTGGTGCTGGAAACATGAGACCCTAAAGCGTTATAGGGTTTAGGGTTTAGGGTTTGTACGGGTTAAGCCCTCAATCCAATTCTTATCCCTGAATCCCTACACCTAACTCCCCCAAAGACCTAATTGAACTGTAAACCAAACCCCTAAAGCCTCGATCCCTGATCCATCAGCCTAGTCCCTCAACCCTAATCCGTTAACCTAAACCCCAAAACTCTGCAGCCTCAATCCCTAGACCCTTAGATCCCTAATCCATAGCTCTGTAAACCTATTCCGTAGCACAAAACCCCAATCCCTAAAACCCTCAAGCCAAAAACCCTCAAACCCTAAACCCCTAAACCCTAAACCCTAAACCCCTAAACCCTAAACCCTAAACCCTAAACCCTGAACCCCGAAACCCCTAACGCCTGAGGTCTTCTCCCTGTTCACCCCAAGCCTTTCTGGCCGGATGAGCCTTGCATGCCTTACAGCGAATCCCAGAAAGTTGGAACATGGGTTTCGGGTTTAGGGTTTAGGAGGATGAGTGCCAGGATCCTGTAGATCTTACCTTAAGGGCATGATGTTCCGACTTTCTGGCGTCTACTATAGTAGGGAGGGTGTGGGGTTTAGGGTTCTGGGTTTAGGATCAGGGGTCGGGTAGGGAAGGTGACCTTTAACGTCTTCGGTTTACGGTAATCTAATCCCTTAATCAGCCCTACAGTTAACCTCTTGGGTTACAATAATCGGTTGAAGGTTCAGGGTTTAGGGCCTATATGACCTTTTAGTTCTCTTAGGACACTGGACAACTAAGATGCTAAACTTGCTCCGGTCACGGCTTCAGGGTTTGGGCATTCGGGGTTCAGGGTCTTGGGGTGTCGGCTTGAGGATTCAAGTTTTAGGGGTCTGGGTTTAGGGGTCTAGGGGTGTCGGCTCTAAGCCCTAAACCCTAGTGAAATTAGGTTTACTTTGAGGCGTTG